TATTCCATGGATTTTGTGCCAACCGGAATAGGTAGACCTTGGTATTCTCATATACCAGGAAGGTCATCCACGTGCTTGGAAGGACCCGGAAGAGATTTGGACCAAGACCCTTGTAGAAACCCGCAATCCCTTCTTGGGCCCATACCTGGGAAAAGACATCAATGGCCCCACGGTAGATCAGGTGGGCCTCATAAGTTTGCAACCGGGACCTAATTACTTGGTAAGGATACGTCACACTGCCAGCAAAGACTTTTGATAGACCGGAGATGACCAAAAAATCAACATTACCCAGTGCCCGTTCGGGGCCCACATGGCTGCTCTCAATTGAGCCCATGGTATTCATCGACCGAAACCTGAAGAGTTTCAACTGCTCATATGCCATAAACTGGAGCGCACCATGGCTGACGCCAAACAGGGCTGGTATGAGACCTCGGTAGAAGCCGGGTATTCCCTCCACCTGGTATATCTGTTTGGCCCCGGATGCAAATGAAGAATACGCCCCTGGAGCATGCGAACCTGTTGACAACATGCGAGTTTTGATCACCCAGATTGGATTGGTGAGGACCGACGTAATGACGCCTATGGAACCCCCCAGGTTAACTGAGGAACAGAGAAATGATGCTGAATTGGACATGATATGTGCATACCTGCACTGCCAGATGCGAGAAGATAATCAGACGATGTGAGAATCTGTTCCCTCTCCTCGCGATAGGCTCGAATAGTACCCTTCAAGCTGCTGTAACAAAAAAAGTACAACCCCCAACTTGTGGAATTTCCGATAAGATTGGGGGTAAGTCCTCGGTAAAAAGCGGCACAGCCACCCTCATAAGAGAAGATATTGCGAATGATTCGCAGTGAACCCCCAAATCGGGAGGACGACCGATCGACTACATATACGAAAGCAAGGTTAGTCACTCTATAGCCCAAGGGGAGCCAAGATAATATTGAAGCTTGCCTTGTAGCCTTGTTTTGACCATGTCAAGAGGATGTAGAGACAGAGTTGACACAATTCCCGCTGTGAATCCTGCTACGGTCTCCACAAAGGATGACGAGAAGCCATCTTGACTAGTCATGAACCTGCTTTAGACAAATATATGAAATTCGAACACCCAGAGATAGATGGAGACACTGGGGGAGAGTGTACGGAGAATGATGTCAGCGGAGGAAGATGAAAGAGAGAAGATGAATATCCCGAGGATGTCAGAACATGTGACCGCTGAGTAACTCCGTACCTAGGTAGCCTTGGAGTTAATAGTAACAATATGTGCACCACAGCACTATTAACCTCTTAATTTTCATTTGTATTTATGCAAAGCTTAGTGTTTACTCAAGATATCACAGGGTTACAGCAATTCCGTACTAAAGCGGACAAATATTCGGCCAAAGACTTAAAAATACAAAATCATCCAGCTTTCACAAGCTTCAGTGGTATCCAGATATTCAAACCCATCATTCCTCACAGAGGGTTCACAGAGGGAACAATTGAAAGATTGTTCGAGAATATACTGGGCCATATTCATCCCATCCACACATCCCGTATCATTTCTCCAGTCAACATCTGGTTTACGCAAGAGGCGAGAACAATCTAGGTGTCAAGTTAGCCATAACAGCTGGAATCAAAGAAAGTTTGAAACATACCTGAACAATGTCGGCTTAGGCTCGCTATAGGTGTAGCCTATGGTTTTTTTTTGGTTAACTTATTGTGTTGATAACGCCAAGTATATACATACCCAGATAGACGATCAGAGGCAAGTATCCGCTAGATGGTGATCGCCGGTCAGCTCGGAGGATGGCATGAAGGTGATATGAGGCTCACTAGTGGATCGCAACCCGGGAAATATCAATGACCTTTGAGACGCGCTCCTAAACAGATTTAAAAGAGAGAGTTAGAAACCCGGTCTCAAGGAGGATCGGGATTGCGACGAACCTTGGTCTCCTCGGAGAATTGAACCATTGTGAATTTATGAAAGTGAAGTTAGGGAGGGTTTTAAGGAGATCAAGGAGAATAAATTGAAGTTGGTTCAAAGTCGATTCAAAGGAACAAGTGGGAGATGTGGTTGATAGATGAAGTGGAAACAGGGAGGATTTGCGGAATCAAAAGTTTTCGGGAAAGGTCACTGATCTTCCCTTAGCTCTCCGGCTTTCCTTCACTTCAACACTTTCACACCTCATTACCTCTCCACTTCCTCAAATTAGTCTACTTTGTTGCTCCAAAGTTTTACCACCGGGAATTTCACAGCCTATTAATATTGCTTGGATCTTTGAGTCCTTTTCCTTTAGGGGGAGCTTTTTTCCCCTCTATCTCCCATTAATTAATCGGCGCCATGTCCAACGCAAGGCATTGGTAGGATCCTCTTTCCTCACTACAGGATTCTCATGCTAACTAAAACCCAGGGAACAAGATAAAGAGGCAACCGTGTACATCGGAAACCTTGATGAACGGGTTACCGACAGCCTAGTATGGGAATTGATGCTGCAGGCTGGGCGCATCGTCAATGTCCATCTCCCCAAAGATCGGGTCACACAGTTACATCAGGGGTATGGGTTTGTTGAGTTCATCAGCGAAGAGGATGCCGAATATGCATCAAAGATCATGAATGGAATCCGTCTCCATGGCAAGCCTATTCGTGTTAATAAGGCATCAGCCGATAAACAAAAAACCGTGGAAATTGGGGCAGAGCTGTTTGTGGGTAATCTTGATCCTATGGTTGCCGAGCAGGTTCTCTTTGATACATTCAGCCGCTTTGGCAATCTTGTCAACCCCCCTAAAGTGAGTTCTTCTCCTAATACTAATAAAGCGGACACCGTTAACAGTGTCTTTTATTATCATTATTATAGATTGCTCGTGATGACAACAATCTGTCGAAGGGATACGGATTTGTGTCTTTTGCCGATTTTGAGTCCTCGGACGCGGCCATCTCCAACATGAATGGCCAGTACCTGATGAACAAACAGGTTTCGGTGCAGTATGCGTACAAGAAGGATGGGAAAGGCGAGAGACATGGTGATGAAGCGGAGCGAATGTTGGCAGCCCAGGCTCGCAAGCATAATGTACAGCCACCGACTCAGCAACCTCCGCAGTTCCCTGGCGCTGCTCCTGGTGTATCAACAACACCTGTTATGTCGAACGGCGACAGCTCTCGACCCTTGAGCACAGCCCCGCCACAAACGCCCGATCTAGCCATGAATCGGGGTATACCACCAGCTATTCCCTACCAGAGTGCACCCCCTCCAATGCCCTACCAGACTGCCCCCCTCCAAACCGACATGTTCCACCTCCCGTCCCTTCACTCAATACCCCACCCCCCCGGGCTCCCAGCCCGACCCCCGCCTTCTCAAGCTGGCTACGGCGGCCCGCAGTCATTTTTACCACCTGGATTCAATGGTGCAGGTCAGCCGCCCTTCGTCCCACAAGCTGCAGCTCCCCCTGGATTTGCGCCGCCTGGATTTGGACCTCCAGCTGGGGCCCCCTCATTGCCACCGGGATTCCAGCAGCCCGGATACGGAAGCACTCGGTGATTCCCAGCGGCTTTCAGTCTTGAATCCATCTCCGCCACAAAAGCTATGCCCTTGTCACTATTCTCGCCACTAGGGACGTGGAATTCCTTTTTTTTTTCTTCTTCTTTCCCCCCCTGACATGATTTGATGACCCAAGGACCAAACCGGTGGTCCGTCTGTTTGATCTTCTCCTCTTGTGTGACTATCTCGAACATGTATAACGGGGGTTGGATCATTGACGCTGACTGGCTGTTGGCAGCGCTGGATGGTCATATGTAATATTAAGTGTCTATTGGACACGGACAAAAACAGACAGACTTGTTGTATTTTGGTAGCACGTCAACTTAATAGGTTTCAATTGCCATGGATCATTCACATAGACAAGAAATCCACTGGTCGAAGTGGTAAACCATAGTAACCCAAGTGCTCCAATAGTACAGATGAGATATTACTAGGCAAAAGCCGTGATCTATTTGTACGGATTCTGCTAGCAAGCTGTCCGCTCTGACAATGGCCAAGGAAACATGTTAGGATTGGCGACATGATTGTAGGCTAATCACGAAAAAGAGACGAATTTGGGGTCCCTTGGCCGGCCGTCAGGCCCAATGTTATTCTTTGCAAATCGTTGCTCTGTGTATATCCGGCGTGCTTCATCAAAATTAACCTTTCGACTCTTCATAATTTTGATCACTTCGGTCTTTGCTCGTTGGTCCAAGCCAGCCCTCGAATCCCCGTCTGCAAGATTGGCAGTAATGTCGAATTGTGACGAGCTCAGGCCGGCCTCGAGATCGGCGGTAAAACTTGAGGGGAGGCGGTGATAGAGATAATCAGGCACTTGGACTAATGGCATCCATCGTGACCGAGTAAGGTATAAAGCTATAGTGCAATTAGAACCGAATTTGTTACGAATGATTGCTTTGTTTCCCGTGGAGTTGGAAAGACATTTGACCTACCTGTCCCGCCGACGATAACTGAAAAGAGTAGGAAATAAAAGAGAATGTAGGTCATGATGATGAGTGATACCGGTGAAGATTCCGGCGTGTAGTAGTAACTAACGGTAGTATAGGGCTTTGTGATATTGCGAGGGAAGAAGAAGGATTTCGCCAAAGAGCTAAGAGATGACTTATCCCATCAGGCAATAGGCCGTTGATGAAGAAGACATAGGAAGATTAGAGTGGTTCTAGAAAGGAGAGTTTGGAGGGGGCAACGTCAGCATCGCGTTCCTATTATTGGCAGCCTGGAGGTCGCCGGAAACTGTTAGTTCTGCCTTACTAAACACGCAGTCATGGATGACCTGATTCAGGCAACAATTCAGGTATTAAGGTATCAAGGCACCAGGGCACCAAGGCATCAAAGCTATTCCTAAAGTAGCCGCCTTAGCGAGACCCCGTCGAATCTGAGGTCTTGGCATTCCAGACACACACAATTTGATCGACGTGAAGACGGTTTTGATAGCGATTTCGATCTTTCAATTCTCCAACTCAACATCCCCTCTCAGCACAATGGCCTCAAACATCTCCAACGATCTGGTCTGGCAGATCACCCGTACGTCCGATTCTCCGAATTTTTCCTTTTCGAATTTTTATGTCATAGCTTTTGGAAACCGAACTCTAGCTCATCAATCTTTGGAATAGGCAACCAGAACGCCTTCCTGGTTAACCGCAACTCCGCCGGTGGCTTCCAGTTCTCCCGGGACCCCCTGAACCTGCTGAACAAGCACTCCTACAAGGTACGGGCCTCGGGAATTAGACGGAGTGGATGATGCTCTCCGGGAATTGCATGGCTAACGACGGTCTCTTTTTTTTTGGCGCATTATAGTATGCCGGTTATGCCAACAACAAGGTAATTATACTCTACACTGCTGGTAAAAGAAAAGGATATGTGGCGCTGACTATTGTACCTTCAGGCTGTCGGTGTCCAGGCTACTGAGAACGGTGTTGCCGTGATCACCAAGAAGCCCAGCAACCCCCAGCAGCCCGCTCAGAACGTGGTCACTGTGACCTACGGTCCCAGCACCTCCACCCGCAAGTAAGTGGAATTCCTCCCCCACCCAAGACATGGTGTATGTTGCTGTCACCACCCAGTGCTAATCATTATCTGCTCTTCAGGATCTACAAGGGTGTTGCCGACAAGACTGCTAAGAACAACTACCGTGCTGATCTCCGCGAGGAGGCCGTCGCCCGTGTCAGCGCCGTCCGTCGCTCCCAGCTCCCCAAGAAGGATACTCCTGCCCAGAAGCCCCGTGGTGCTAAGGCCCGCAAGGCTGAGGAGTCCGAGTAAATTTGTCTCGAGATGAGGCTGAATTGTGGACTATGAAGGATCGGGGATTTTGGGGGAAGAGACTTGATAAGCGTATGTAAAACGCCATGCTGGACTTGGAACCCATGTAATCTAGCAGTCATGCTCCGAGGACGGAAAAAAAAAATTCAAAAATCCAATGTCCTCTCTGAGACCTTCGAAAGAAAAGAGAAAACCGAGAACAATTCCTGTTAATCGGAACGGAAAAGAAATCAACCAAAGGGTATAGGAAAAATTAGTTCACAACCGACTGGTCGGCCCGAGCCAGAATGTCCGGTCTATGAGAATTTATTATAGTCCGCCTTTTCCCGATATGACAACCCGGTAGCCCGGGGAAGTGTGGAACAATTTATGTTGAGGGGACGAGAATTGCCGGGAGAGTCTGGAGAAAGGTCAAGAGCGTTTTGTATCGGGTCTTTTTGGTCGTATTACAGAGAGATGCAGAAGAGTATGGGGATTAAAGAATTCGGTAATGTACAATTAGGTAGTAAAGGTATAGCCAAATATAAGCCAAATATAAGCCCAATATAAGCCCAATATACCATAATCCATAACATAAAAGAGATAACTCCAAATCAAGGCGAAGAAGAATCAAATGAAGTACTGAAACATCGTCACTTCACATGCCGACATCAAAACACACCTCCAGGATGAGTATTCCGGGGTTGCCCCTCTCCAGCACTTGCCCCTCTTATAAATCGGCCGGTCCCCTCTTCAAGCTTCTTTCCTCCCCCATATTTCCCCTATCTTCTTCTTCTTCTCCTCTTCTTCCCCTCTTATTCTCTTCTTTACAAACACATACATAATAATTCATCATGGTCAAAGCTGGTATGTTATTCGGCTGTTTTGTCCATCATTTGCTGATTTGTTATTAGTTGTTCTCGGAGCTGCTGGTGGCATTGGCCAGGTATGCTATCCCCCCCCAAAGTCATTGAGTCTCTTATGAGCCTCCACTAATCTATCATCTAGCCTCTCTCCCTTCTGCTCAAGGCGTCCCCGCTTGTTGATGACCTTGCCCTCTATGATGTTGTCAACACCCCCGGTGTGGCTGCTGATCTTTCTCACATCTCCTCGGTCGCCGTACGTATACTCCGAAGCATCGCGAATAATCCAATCTTGCTAACAAATGGACTAGAAAATCTCTGGTTACCTCCCCAAGGATGATGGATTGAAGCTCGCTCTGACCGGTGCTGACATTGTGGTCATCCCCGCCGGCATTCCCCGTTAGTAGATCCGCAGACCGGGATGTGGTGTTGGGTGTTTTTGCTAACGTCCAGGGCGACATCTAGGCAAGCCCGGTATGACCCGTGACGACCTTTTCAAGGTCAATGCCGGAATTGTGAAGGGTCTCGTCGAAAGCATCGCCGAGTTTGCCCCCAAGGCTTTCATCCTTGTTATCTCCAACCCTGTGAACTCAACCGTCCCTATCGCCGCCGAGGTCCTCAAGGCTGCCGGTGTCTTCGACCCCAAGCGTCTGTTCGGTGTGACCACCCTGGATGTCGTTCGTGCCGAGACCTTCACCCAGGAGTTCTCCGGCGTAAAGAACGCCGCTGATGCCACCGTTCCCGTTATTGGTGGTCACTCTGGCGAGACCATTGTTCCTCTGTTCAGCAAGGTTTCCCCCAGCTTCCAGATCCCTGCTGACCGTTACGATGCTCTTGTCAACCGTATGTGAGGAGTCCTTTTTGTGGGAGGCATTTGCTGATATTTCACAGGTGTCCAATTCGGAGGTGATGAGGTCGTCAAGGCCAAGGACGGTGCTGGTTCCGCTACTCTGTCTATGGCCTTTGCCGGTTTCAGGTATGTCTCATCCCGCTAACCCGGGGCTACCACGGTCACTGACAAATACTAGATTCGCCGAGGCTGTCATCAAGGCTGCCAAGGGCGAGAAGGGCATTGTTGAGCCTACTTTCGTCTACCTGCCCGGTGTTGCTGGCGGTGATGAGATTGCCAAGGCCACCGGTCTTGAGTTCTTCTCCACTCCCGTGGAACTTGGCGTAAGTCTTCAATTTTCCAGTGTGTTAAGACAACTAACTGACATACTCGATCCAGCCCAACGGTGCCGAGAAGGCCATCAACATTCTTGACGGTGTGACCGAGCAGGAGAAGAAGCTCCTTGAGGCTTGCATCAAGGGACTTCAGGGCAACATCGAGAAGGGCGTTGAGTTCGCGAAGAACTCTGCACCAAAGTAAGGCTTCCTTCCCTCCCCTGGTCTGTTGTCCACCGCGTATATCGGGTGGGTCTCTTTGTGTCGGTAGAATTCTCGCTGGTTTCTCCACGACTGCGATGACACCGGACAATGGCAGAGCGTTGCTAATCAATCTTCTCCCGGAAAGATAGGCTTTAAATGTGAGACCACGAGTTTATGAACAATGAGCAGACACGAGTAGTGTACGGTCCGAAATCAGATGGGTTAGGTTGAACACACAAATATAGTAGCCAACCTGCGAATGGAAAGAATTACAGGTTTCACCGTTCATATTTGCGCGTTTGCAGTATCCCGTCTCATGTAGCCAAGAGACTTTGGAATGATCCAAGATCCATGCAGTAAGTTGCAGGAACCACAAGGTCTTTTGCAAGATGGAACTGTCATAAGTCATAGAGCAGGCGTAAATTGGTTGAGCAACAGGCTAGCCCAGGCCTAGGCGCAACCATGTTCATGTTCAAGGCCGAGGCTGGAGAGTTTTGATCTGGAAAGTTGCACCTGGTAGATCCGAGGTCTCGGCCTGCACGGTGGTGTTGATACCCAAATTGGCCAACGCACCCCGGATGATACCACAAGGAAACCAGAGGTACTAGATCAATCTATAAGCCAAGATACCCCTGTTGATTAGGCAAAGGGGATAATGCTTACTGCTTGCGCCATGGAGATTGCTTCACTCCGCACCGCCATGCTCATCCTACCAAATGGCCGGAACGCGCTGTCGGTTAGGACATAGACACCCTTTTGATTGTCGACATTAGTTTCATTGGACATCTCCGTGCAAGTGCAGTCATGTCGCATCTCCTCGAACACAATGCTCTCTGTATTGCACATACCCGATGGTTCGTTTTCAAATTATCCACCTGTTTCTTGAATAGGACCGTCCACAGATCCTTGCAGAGAAACTTGATCACATCGAGATTATCGGTAAATCGAGGACGGTCTCGGGCGAAGCTATAGAGATCGAGACAGGGTTAGCACGCCGTAGGACAGCAAGAGATAAGCAAAGGGACTGCAAAAGGAGATGTTCGTGCTTACCGCTCCGCGAGGCCTTGCCCGACACGATAGCCCAGAGACTCTAGACGAAAGAATGTCGTCTCTCTAACCTCTTCATCTTCGGTTTCCTTTCCCTCGGTCGCAAGTTCCTTTGCCATACGCTCAGCCATTGGCACCAATTCTATGAGTAGGAAGTCGAAGCATGAGGAGCTGAAGACGCGGGCATTTGGATCGGTATTTAACGGGGAAGTGGAATCGAATGACATTATGAAGAGTCAAATGTAACCAAATTCAAGGGTTGGACGAGCAAGGGATCCGGGTGATATACGAAATGAGGGCGTGTTGATGGGCAGGAGTTGAAAATGGAGGAGATGGGGGTAGTTGGGGGAGTCGCGGGAATTGGGGGAGTTGGGGATTCTAAGCTAACTCCCCAGGCCGAAATCCACCTGATATTGGCCTCTTGATCTATATACAAGAAGATATAAAATATTCTATGTATTGTATCTTATTTAAAAATAAGAGTCATAGTCAATATATTTCCAGGCTAATTGACTGGTCAAAACTAGAATGATACAATCCCTCTTAGATACATAGCCACTTGTGATATCTTGAAGACTCCCCCCGCCAGAAACTCCATGGGAAATATGTATGCACCAGAAAGAGAAACGACCGATGTTTTTTTCTTCTTTTTTTTTTGGCCCTCAGCTTGACACAAGCTTGAATAGAATAACTTCCCCCTCCCCCTTCCGAATTCACGGTGGGTACGACCCGCCATTCAGAGGGCTGCTGGCAGGCGGGATATGGTACTCCTGACGAGAAAATGCTCGGGATGGTAGACTTGAAGCTAGTCTTTTAGGAGGTGGAGCAGGAGACTCTTCATCTTCGTCACCGCTTTCAGTCAGGTCGATGACCTGAGCAATAGGTCGCTTTTTGCTGGACATGCGCATTGCGGAGGACGGGGTTGATGTCTCTCGTGATTGAGACTGGGACTGCGCAGGTGTTCGCTCTAGAGTGACGTTTAGGTGTCCCGGCTCCTGTTTTACAACGGGCATCCCTGGTTCGCTGATCTCGATCAAGTCGTCATCGTCATCTGACGCGGGAGTCATCCCTCCCAATTTTGTCGCGTCGGGGTCAGTGGGGCTTGACCATACACCGTCGGGTTCAACGGTGACTTGATCAATGTCTGGTGACGTTGACTGAAGAATGTCATCAACGTACCTATGCAATCAGTCAGAAAAATCAACAGATATGTCAAGGGCATGTGAAACTTACTGGTCAACTTGCAGAGACTCAAAGCTAGTAGATTTGGAACACACAGGGCACGTCCAAGTTGGAGCTTGCTTTTGCAATTCAAGGAATGACGATGCATCGAAGCATTGGTTATGTGTGCAAACAATAGAGCGGCAAGGCACCTGTATGCGAAGGGTAGATAGAGGGCATTTGAGTGACATGACACTTGATGTCGCGACAATGTCGGTGTCATTCGCACGATTTTGCACTGTAGATCTAGATAAGCACGGTATAACTCAAGGAAGGGAAACAGAAGGGGCTCTTACTTTCGCGTAATACTTGCTCTTTCGAGATGAGTTTCCGTGTCTTCAACTGCGAGATAAGATCATCAGTCGGATGCTGTTTTACGAGGTTAGCAAGCACAAAGAATTTCTGTGCAAGAACAAGTTAGTCAATCGGTCTAACATCTACTCGGTAGAGTAGAAACGGAATGGGATCAACCTTTTGCGTCAATGCGTAAGTCATGACAATATTATTTGGATAATTAGGTTTTTTGCGGATCCAATTGGTGACATCTGCAGGTTGTGTAGTCCCTGGCCTATTTTTCAGACCTCTGAGGTTGGCTTTGACTTCGTCGAGGTTTACTTTCAGCTCCACCTGGTGTGGAAATGCGATGTCCGACTTGGTGTATTGTGTGAGGCCTGAATCACCGGCGCAATAAACCATCACTCGAAGATTCGAGTCTGTTTGCAGCTTATAGGCAATTTGCTGAGATAGCATGACCTTCAGTTCAACACTATCCCGTGTTTGTTCGCGAACTGGATGAAATTAGACATAGATGTTCAACAGGCTCCAAAAGAATATAATAACATACCTTTACATTCCACGACTGCCGTCAAAGGCTCTAGGATTGTGTAAAAAGGACTTTCTTTGAAAATCAAAGGACCTGGAGATTTATGAGCGGCCGCAGGAGGTTTCATGAGAGGAGCACTCCCACCAGAGGAGTATGGGTGAGGTGACATGGAAACCCCAAGCGGTGCAGATCGAGCCTGTGCAGGAGATTGAGAGACAGGCGATGGCTGGTATTGTGGCCTAGTGGGTGATTGATATGGCACAGTGTTTGGGAAAGCAGTAGCGCGGATGCGCCTGGCCAGAGCATCGAAACTGACAGGGTCAGACTCCGCAAGGGACTCGATTCCTATTTCGCTGGTCAATGTCCGGATTTCTGTAAGAATGGGAAGTGACACAAAAAGGTTGAGGAAAAGATTGGAAAACATGCAGAACGTAGAATGAACAAGTCATAACAAGAGTCTGGGAGAATTGACGAACTTTGAATAATGCGGAACTGTAGGGTTGCCTTCAACCCAGATACCTGGAGACCCTCATACCTCAACAAGTCTTTTAGTTGTGGATTTGTGAGGGGCTTGATGAAGGCTGTCAGTGTTGCAACCTCAGACGACATGGTCGACATGACTGCTTCACAGATAAGAGAAGTGCAAAAGCAATCAAGGTGGACTTGGTTCAGGGTTCCTCGATAGACAAGGGTCCGATTCAGCCAGGCCAATTGTAAGGGCTCTGCATCGATACATCTCTTGGCTGGAGTGAAATGTAAGGGAAAGGCCACAAACCCCAGACACAAAAGGGTGAGGTCAAATCGACAAGACCTCGGAGGGTGAACCTTGGGAAGTGCGGTCTCCGGATGACATAAGACGAGCCTATCGGGGGGAATTGCTACAGACACGGCACGTTTTGCTAGTAGCACGGCACATTAGGTAATATTCCCTTTACATAATCAATTTTGACCGAGATCGTTACCATACATTACCACAGCAACTACATTACTTACTACTGTAGCAACTACATTCTATCTACTTCTGCTATAAGAACCACTCTATCTTCTCATTGATCTTACTTCATCCAATTGATCTTACTTCATCCAATTGATCTTACTTCATCCAATTGATACTTGATTTCACCTAATCATGGAGCCACCAATTGAGCAAGTCTTTGAGACTAGAGAGCAACTCCTTACTTCGATACGACAGCATGCCCTATCTCATGGTTATGCTATCACTATCATCAACTCCGCTAAGGAGAGGAATATTTGTCTTGGTTGTGATAGAGGCGGTATATACCATGATCATATTGATGCCCCAGAAGGGGCAAAACGCCGGAAGACAAGTACTAGACGGATGAACTGCCCATTCCGCCTTTATGCAAAGAAGCTTGTTGATACTAATCAATGGGAAATCCAGGTAAGAAATCCTAATCATAATCATGCAGCTACTAATAATATGATAGGGCATCCTATGGCAAGGCGTCCACAGCTTACTAAAGATCAAAATCAAACTATTGAACATCTATCAGATATTGGATCTCGACCGCAGCATATTATAAGTCTATTAAGAAAGGATCAACCTGATATCTTAATAAGACCAAAAGATATTTATAATATAAGAGGTAGTATAAGACAGAAAAAGCTTAGGAATCACTTACCTCTTGAACTTCTTCAACAGATATTAATTCAGAATCAATGGAAATATGCATTTAAACAAGATATAGAAGGTCATGTTCAATTTTTTATGTTCGCTCACCCTGAATCAATTAAGTATGCTAATCAATATAATAGGGTCTTTTTATTAGACTGTACTTACAAGACGAATCGGTATAAGATGCCTCTTTTACATATTATTAGTCTCTCGCCATCGAATTCATCCTATAGTATTGCTTTCTGCTTTATGCAAAATGAGCAGGAAGAAAGCTATAAGTGGACTTTACAGACTTTTTTTTCATGGCTTGACCCCTTACCCTTTTCTCCAGTTCTTTGCACTGACAGAGATCTTGCTTTATTAGGTGCAATTAAATCTATCTGTCCTAGAAGCCCACATCTACTATGCATTTGGCATATTAATAAGAATGTGCTGGCAAAGACAAAGCAATATTTCTCTTCAAATGAGGAATTTGAGGCTTTTATCAAGTCATGGAAAGAGCTAATTAATTCATCAAATATTGATGAATATAATGCTCAATTAGCTAAGTTCACAACGCAGTTTAATCAAATTGCCCCTAATGCTCTTAGATATATTCAAAGTACTTGGCTAACCTATAAAGAGATGTTTATTAGGGCTTGGGTAGGGCAATATCTTCATCTTGGTAACTGGGCTACATCAAGAGTGGAGGGGTCTCACGCTTTTTTAAAAAAGTATATAGGGGGATCTTCAGGTGATATGCTTCATGTTTTTGAGAGAATTAATAATGCTTTACAGGCTCAGTATCAGCGACTTGAATCTGATCTTGCAGAAGATAAGATTAAGAGACTAAATTTCTGCTCCCACTTTCTCTATTCGAATATTATAAAGAGAACATCACGATATTCAATATCTTTGATCTCTAATCAAGCTGCTATAGCTAAGAGAGCTACCCCCGAAGCACCTTTATCAAACTGCACTAATATATTCACTAGGACAATGGGCCTTCCGTGTGCCCACCGAATCGCTAGTTTATTAACAAAACATCAACCAATCCCACTAAGCGATATCCATCAATTTTGGAGGATTGGCCTTAGTAATGAGTCATCTATGTATCTGCCAATACTAGATCCTCTATTACCACCACCAACTCGCAGATCAGCTCAAGAGAACATATCAGATCAAAACATCAAAACATCAAACCAAAAGGTCACTAAGAAGAAAGCACCCTCGAAGTGCTCAAATTGTGGAGAAATTGGCCATACAATCCGCTCCTGCAGAGTGTGAAAAGCATGTAAATAAGATGAAAAGCACAATAAGATTGACTAGAGAGAATTGATTCATGGTCGGGTTCTTATAGTAATGAAGCAGTAGTAGATAGAATGTAGTTGCTACAGTAGTAAGTAATGTAGTTGCTGTGGTAATGTATGGTAACGATCTCGGTCAAAATTGATTATGTAAAGGGAATATTACCTAATGTGCCGTGCTACTAGCAAAACGTGCCGTGTCTGTAGCAATTCCCCTATCGGGGGGGGAAAAAAAAAAGTTGATTGTGTTATCAGTTGACCATTTTATTTCCCACCCCGACATCAAATTCATCGGTTTTCACGTTCTTGGCCATATTCTCAAATCTTGATACCCTTATTTACCTTGTTTATCTTTGTTGATTTTCCATTTCTATCCTCATAAAATGGCGAAAAGTGTCCGAGCCAGTGTTTCCAAGCGCAACAGAGCCAATCTGCGCCAGAAGGTCTTTGGCCCAGTGGTCGATGCCAGAACTGAGAGACTCGCTGCCAAACTACAGGAGCTTGCATCACAGCCACGACCGGAAGCCCCTGTGAAATCAAAGATGGACCTAGCCGAGGATGAGGCTGGTATGTATACTACCATCATTTTTCCAAGAATACCGACTAACCTCATATTCTGCTTTAGCCGAAGCAGCCAAGGCCCAGACTGGTGACAGCGAAGGTTAGTCTATGGCAATTCAACTTTTGAATCGCACTCTTTTTTCGGCCTTGAACTACAGAATGCTTACCTTCTTCCTAATACAGAGATGGATATCGACACAATTAAGAGCTCCAAGAAGAAGCAGGCACGTGTACAGAAGCGCAACCAGAAGCCTCGCAACTCGATTGTCTTCCAAAAGCGTCTATCTACAGCCAAGAAGGGCCCCAAGAGGAAGTGAAGCGTGTGTCGAGTGAAGGCCAATACATGGATTATTTGACGAGATGGTGTGGCGGAGAAGAAAAAAAGGCGTTTGGGAGTCTACAATTTACACCTGCGATTCACGTACATATGTTCCATAGTCTGCATCTGATATACCATACCTTTCATTAAAGGCTTGAGATATTACTTGGAATTTGATCAGTGGGGAAGAAAAAATGACCCTAATGCGGCCGGGGGAGTCGATATAGGTTGCTCTAATTTCAAATCACCGACAAGCAACCCTAGTCAAGATTGATTAGCTAATTTATACCTTCATCCAATATTTGTTAACCTTTAATTTATGAACCGAGGGGACCGAGGGGGTTGAGTCGTGAAGTAATTGTCGATATAGATCTACATCTATGGATATATGTACTCCGGAGTACAAGGGTACTCCAGAAGGCGGTGTGGTGATGCGCGTGGATCATAAACATGATTCTGCCGCTGGATTGCCCCCCGGACAAGTTCGACATGTGCAGTTGATTTGAGGTTCTTGACATAAAAGTTGTCCTGAGCTATCACGCCAAGTCAAGTTGCCAAAATGGTGGCCTTTAGCAGCTGGGCGACAGTCATTGCCAATTTGCTGGTCCCCGTGGGCATACTCACCTTCTCTTCAGGATTCTTCCCTTATAAACCGTTGATCCCTGGATTAGCGACTTTTGATGAAACAGGCGAGAATACCAGAGCACCTGCGGTTTTTGATAAAGTTATTTTTATGGTGGTCGATGCGCTAAGGAGGTATGGTTTGAAGCAATTCACCTCCGAGATATCCCAGTCACTAACAAGGGTATTCACATATAGCGACTTTGTATATTCGAACGACTCGGGTTTCTTGTTTACACAGAGGTCAGGGTCACTTTAAAAGCTCCAACATTTGATTGTTTGAAATCAGTAACTGATTTGATACCAGCTTGATCCGGTCCGGCGCTGCACTGCCATTCACTGCCTATGCGAGCGCTCCAACCGTTACAATGCCTCGATTAAAAGCCATTACAACCGGCTCAGTCCCGTCTTTCTTGGATGTTATTCTCAACATTGCAGAGTCAGATACCACATCAACACTGGCATACCAAGACACCTGGTTGGCGCAATTAAAGGCCACAGGAGGACGGCTGGTGATGTATGGGGACGATACCTGGCTCAAGCTCTTCCCGGGGATGTTTGACCGAGCTGATGGTACTACAAGCTTCTTTGTGTCGGTCAGTTGTACTTTAGGTGTTTGTGTATCTGCAGTATTAGTATGGAAACTGAGATTCTTCTCGCAGGACTTCACGGAAGTAGATCATAATGTGACTCGACACGTTCCTACCGAAATTGCTCAGGATGACTGGTCTGCTTTGATCATGCATTACCTGGGTCTGGATCACATAGGACATAAGGCTGGCCCGAAAAGGTAAACACAGCTCTCTATCTTATTATTTAGCTGCTCTCTAATCTTCAACTCCTAGTCCTTTCATGATACCGAAACAGCATGAGATGGACTCTGTGGTGACTGAAATCTATACTGCAATGCAGCAACAAGACCATCTTCAATCCACATTGTTCGTGTTGTGCGGAGATCATGGCATGAATGAGGCTGGAAACCACGGCGGATCTTCTGCTGGGGAAACATCCCCCGCGTTGCTTTTCATGTCACCCAAGTTTAAAGCCTTGGATGGCCGAAGAGAAAGCCCCGTGGAACCGTCAGATGATATGCAGTATTACCGGACGGTTGAGCAAGCGGACATTGCTCCAACCTTGGCGGGACTTCTTGGTATCCCAATTCCTTTAAACAGTCTTGGTGTATTCATTCCAGACCTTTTAGAGATGTGGGATCATGGTATGTGCTCTGTTCCTAGTTGGACAAACGAGAGAAACAACAAAACAAAATCAAACCCAAAAAAATCAGGAACTGACTCGGAAACAGGTTCTCATAGACTTCAAATATTATATCAAAATGCCGAACAGCTGCTAAACACGCTGACAACTACATTCCCTGGATCTACGTTTGGCCCCGATGCCACCACATCCTGTGCTTCAGGGGTTCTATCGGGTATTGAGGGGGCTCAATGTGCTTGGACTCAAGTCCAACAACTTCTCTCTGCCAGGGACGAAAGAGACGATCCCTACACTACGGCTGGTCCCGCTTTATTGCAGTTCTTAAAGATTGCACAGGATGTCATGAGCCGTACTGCCAGTAACTACGATGTCTCTAGACTCATTCTCGGCCTGTTGATCACGGGGGTTGCAGGCCTGCTTGTACTTCCAGCTACATACAAGGAATGCGCACGTCACGGATCTTCTGGGATGTTTTTGATACTCATGATCATCACCTGTGGGATGATGATGTTTGCGAGTAGCTATGTGGAAGAAGAGCAACAGTTCTGGTATTGGATCTGTTCGGGATGGATTGTCTACCTGCATATCAAATCGCAATCGCAATTATCTGCAAAACCGATCCTACGCAGCCGCTTTGGATCATTAATATATTGGTCTGACAAATGCATCATTCTTGTGCTCGCAATCACCCAGCGACTCTTGCGACGATGGAACCAAACGGGACAGAAATTCGCGGCCGAGCCTGATATTGCTCGCACCTTCTTTACACGCCATCCAGAAATCTTCTGGGGCCTTCTTATCCTCACGTACGTGGATGCTGGTCGCCATCTTCTCAGGAGTATACCGATCACTGGAATATTGAAGCTCGGTGCCTTGGCCCCTGCCCTGTTGGCCTTTACGTTCAAATTGCACTTTGTGACGTCGGAATCCCCCGAACTCCTCGATGGGACGTTCATCTCACAAATAATGACGGAATGGCCCTACAGTCTATCATTGGTTTTGCATGCCAGGCTTGTGTTTTATGGACTCGCTGTCGTTGTCCTCCTAGGGCTCGTTGGAAAACGGTCAAGAGTTCCCCGAGGTAAGCCCTCACATGCTCTAGATTGCCTCTCGAGGTTGGCCTCGTTACTAACCGCTTTTTTTTTTTTTTTCTCTCTTTTTTTTAGCGCATGATACAATCCATGAAGCTCTTCACATCTTCTTAATGACGCAGTCCCGTGCCACTAACGTCCCCTTGTTCCTACTTTTCCGAATTCAAGCCGGCATTCTCTCTTCCCTGAACCTCACAGGGATCGAAGTTACAATCACGACCTTGATCTTCCAATATATGACCTTCTTCGCGTTTGGTGGCTCCAATGCAATCTCCTCTGTGGACCTTGCTAGTGGATATAACGGTATCGACAGCTACAGCGTGGTGCTAGTAGGGGTTCTCACCTTTGCGAGCAACTGGGCAGGACCCATTTGGTGGGCTTCACAGAGCCATCGCCTCCGGCCGAAGGATGCAGAACAAGACCCCTCGACACTATTGACCTTCCATGTTGCTATGTCCTTGGTTTCGGTTATGGCTGCTTGTACAGCCCTCCGGACGCATCTTTTCATCTGGACTGTTTTCTCCCCCAAATATCTCTACAGTATGGCGTGGGCCACTGCCCATCATGTTGCTGTCAATTTATTAGGCGAGGTTGTTTTCTCTCGATCTCGTCGTTATTCATAAACAATATTTTAGCTTGGAAATACATATCTGGACATCCCTTGCCATCCGTAAAACACACAAACACAAAAACCTGAAACCAAAAGAACACTGTACATAGAGGGGTATGAGATTCAAAATAAACCGCTGAACAAATCATCGATGGCGTTCTTCTTCTTCTTCTTCTTTTTCGTTGGTTTTGAAACGTCTTTTAGTTTTTCCATGGAAACCTTTGAGGCCTTGGAATCCGACTTGGAAATCTTGACTGGGGCAAGTTGCACAGTGTCAATCCGACGAATACGTTCCCCAAGATCTTCCTTTGCCACTGGAATAATCTTGGACTGGCTCACAGGTTGCATCTTCAGCTGGTGACTGATCTCGGTAATTTTGGACAGTCGCGCCAATGTAGCTAGCAACACGATTCCCAGTGTAGAGAACTGATTATCGGCAACGACAGTTGAAAAAGCGCTAGAAAACTGTTAGTTTGTTTCTACTTGATATATTTCCCCCCCTTTTTTCTCATACATGTAACATCTGGGGATAACGGTGGCCAGGTGGGATTTTACCCCCGATCGGGCGAAATCCAAGGTGGCACGTTTCAAGATGGATAGCCATTTCCACCATTTGGTTCGACGATGCTGATTTTTATTGCGATGGAAAATTAGATGCAACGTTGAATGGACTGCCAGGATTTCCTTGTCCATTGTGTTGTATGTTGTATGTTGTAGATGGAAAAGAATGAAAAAAGTGGATTTTCCGGTTTTAGTCTCCCGACTACCACATATCGACTACATCCCATATCCGTTCAAAAGTAGTAAAGAAAAATATTTCATTGGACTAACTCCATCCCCATTTTTTTGGGATTTTCTGAATTTTCAAAGAAAAAGCAATAGCAAAAGCAAACGCAGACGCGCGTTGAAAAGCAAAAAAAGCAAAAAAAAGAGAAAACGCAGGAAAACGCAATGAAAGCAATTACTAGCACAATCCCGAGATGAAAAAATTGAATTTCTCCTCGAAACATGCAATACAAAGGCAAGTGTCATCAGCAGAGCGAGCAAGGATTGTGCGAGCTATTCTGAGAAACAGTAGATGCCTCTGATGCCCTCTGTGTGATAGGGATATTTGGGGGAAATGAAAGGTCCAGATTGAAGAAAGAGACGTAGAAAGAGCCTCTTGGAAACCCAGAAACCAAGGATCCAGAGATTTCGGGGGTTTCAAATAGGAAAGAAGGAACAATGCCGTGAAGTTCAAGAAAAGCCTAGAGGTTGTCCGAGAGCCTGGTCATGCTGAGAGTCTTGTTAACGGCTGTGTGGCGTTCATTCCGTAGGTCTTGAGCATCTTGCTCTTGCTGTTGAATTTTCGATTTTCGATCTTTTTTTCGATTTTGGTTTTGGGGGACCGATGGAGATTTCTTTTTTTTCCTTTTTGGTATTTCGGCTTGATTTCATCTGATCTGGGGTCTGGAGGCTCGGTTGAACATTTCGAAAATGATTCGCGCGTCAGCACATATGTGGGAATGCGGTGACATTGGCAAGATCAGCGAGAGGAACTGATCTTATTGCAGGTAAGCCCATAAGGCCTAATTTCTTGGGGAGATGAATTGATGGTCCTCTGCCCGCATCGAAGAAAATTCGCTAGGGGCATGCTGCACCGATCGTCCACCAGAATACCGGGGAGTGCGGATTGATCCTCGACCCCGCGGAGTCTGGCTAAAGGACTGCGATTGGGGCCGCGTACGGTTGGTGCGAGGCGTAGTGGGAGGCCGGTTTCGAGGTGCAAAGAGCCCTGTCAAAGGGTCAGAACATGTCCACAAACTAGAGGGCACGGTATCTTACTCTTACCTTGCTGAGTAGTGCTAGCAACTGAACGACGAAGCTTACTGGCATCATTGGGACCGGGGAAAGCTGCTTCAGTGCCCGTGCGGGGGCCATCGATATGGAAGAGCTATATTCAGTCAGTATCGGTACCCAAATGGGGACAAATAAAAGGATAAAACTCACTCGGGGTCGCTCTTCGTGAGGGCGGGTCATAACGTGACTGTTTCGGAACTTGTTCACGAGAGTCTCCTTCCCTTGGAGTGCTATTGAAACTGGTTAGATATCATTCTAATTGGCCATGGCTGGGAGACAAACTGGCGTAAGAAATCTCTGCTCTCTTCTCGGAAATACAGTCGGGCCTGTAATTGTCTCGAGTCAGCGAACGTCTTTTCTGAGGGAGATAGGGAGGAACATACCAAGCCTTGCCCTGTCGAGAGTGCACGAGCTAATGGAAACCGGTAAGTACATGTCACACACTGACTCATGATATAACTCACATTCACAATGTCAATTGGCTGTATATTATGTTAGTAAAAAAAATATCAGATGAAAGGGGAATCCGATGAAAGCAGGACCAGCAAAAACACTCACATCACCGAAGTTCATGAACGCATAACCAACGCTAGAAGGACAAAGGGTAAGTAACATCGAAAGCCAACAATGAGAAATCAGAACTTACTTGCAACGATGGTTAAAATCTGTGAATCGAATTAGCCTGAACAAGAGAATACATCATGGAGCAGCACTTACCCATGCGCAGGTAGAGGAAGTCATACTTCCCATAGCTGGACTCGTCAAGGATGCTCTTCAATTGGTCCTATTGAATGATCAGATCGAATTCACATTGAAGATTTTCATAAGAGGATGGAGATAACCATACCGACGTTATCTTGTTGGGAATGTTGCGGATCATGACCTGTAACGAGACAATGTGAGAAATTGGTCTTGCGGCTGATAGGTGAAAACTTACAGTGCTGCGAACATCTAGTCCTTCTCTGATTCGGTCGAGGTTAATAGCATGCTCTGCGCTTGTTTGGCCCTCCTCAAAAGCCGGAGAAATGTCGACCTTGTCATCGACCTCGTTCTCCTTGGACACGAGGTGATACGGTGTAACGGGGCTCTGGGGGAACCAAAGCTAGAGGTTCGAAGATGAGGCAGAACAGAAATCTCTTCCTGTGTATCAGTAGAGACATTGAAACGAAGACACTGTACAAATCCAATGTGAGCATTCCACTTTCAAAGAACACAAAAAAAAAGAAAAAAATATACCTCGAGCTTGAACCCACCGAGACATGAAAAAGCATAAGCCGCGTGACACTTGTTGAAATATTCAACTTGGTATCGACTCATGTTAGTTCCATTCTCAAGAAGCTTGCAAGAACGCGGGGTCCCAAGGGAAGTGACGACCTGTTGAACAACATCGTCCATAGGTTCCAGGAGCCACTGATTTGGGATGGTGTACACAGAAAGCAGGAATGCACCATCCTGATGAACAGAGGAAGAGGAATTAGCCCCGCTAGTTCCCTTAAAATTGGCAATCTCTTTGCAATTGGCAGGCATGACGTGCCATGCAGGACGAGTTTGGCGAATGTTCTTCATCGCGCGGATGGCTTCTCGAAGGTCACTAAACGAAAACGAGAACGCGCCTTGAGTCTCAACTTGCTTGAGACAAACATCCTCAAGGGAGGGATATTCGTCAATCTTGATAGAGTCAGCTTTGGTCTATCCCATGAGCAGCACCTTGGCATTGTAACTTACGGGAAACATCATAACAATCGAGCGGTGGGTAGTGTCGACAGGGACATTGTGTACGATAAAGCTTCGATGCTTTTCAGCAACATCATGAGTTCCACCGGAGAGGGATTGTAAAGACAGGTTGGTTGTACTGGTAGCGCGACCAGCTTGGTCACCGCGGGAAACATGGGTCAATTCGTTGGGAGCGGCAACGGCATCTCTGACCGTGGAATCCTGGGTGGTTGCGAACAAGCTAGATATGAAATCTGGGGTTGGGTTGTATGCATAAGTGATATCACGCGATGGGGAGTACCGAGCATTGGCAATGCTTTTCTGAACCGGAGAGATGAGATATTGGGATGCTCCCAGACGCGCCTGAGTATGAGTCGAAGAAATAGGTGAGCATGTCATGTAATCCAGCGACCGAGATGCCTGGGCATGCGAGGGCGAGTATGGCATTCCACCAGGACCAGGGTTTGTGGGAGACACATGAGGTGAAGCAGAAGAGACCTGGGATTGTCCGATGACAGTGCGAGTTGCGTTAATTGTTCGAGCCAGCCGAGGCGAAACAGACGAGTACTGGTACTGAGTGTTTGCCTGGTCAAGGGTAGCGGGCGCTGGGTAAGCATAGCTAGAAGCAGAGCCTGTAGTAGTGGTTTGAGACGAAGCAACGCGCGTAGGCCCTGCCTCATTGGACCAACCGGCAAACGGATCACTGTAACGCGCGTTAAACTTATTAGGGCTTTGGCCGTCAATGTATAAAACAACAAGAATTATCTTACGCAGTTGGACGGATTGTCTCCATTCCAGGGAACGAAACAGGGTTCCCTCGATGAGCAAAAGGTTCATACCCCATCGGATTGAATGCAGCAAGCTGCTCCGATGGCGATCCTCGAGTTGGGGAAGACGTCTCCATGTTCAATCCTGAAGTAATAAGAAAGTGAGCGGATAAGCGACAACCGTGTTGAAAAGATAAGTCCACATACAATGTAGCAATTCTTTTGACCTATTCAGTAAGGGGCGCGATGTAGATAGGTAAGAGAAGTAGTTGCGAGAGAAAAAAATAAAAGAATCGTTGGCGAGGGAATAGAGGAACCCTTTTATGTCTCAAGGCCGACTCACACTTGGCCCAGCGCGCGCGTTAAGTCGGCCAACGGGGCAACTCTAATGTACAATGATAAACCAATTCATTCTCTCGAACGGGCCGAAACGAGGCAAATCACAACCTGTTGAGCGCGTGTTGTTGAGCGCGTGTTGTAGTATATACCGACCTAGGTAGTCCTCGGGGCCTAACCCAACCGTAATAATAAAGAACGTTTAACCAGTTGAGCGCGCGATGTTGAGCATGTTGTTGAATGTGTCGTAGCATATATCTAGTCACCAGGCGGGCTAGGTGTAGAGTTCTTTATGCCTTCAACCTCATAGTGTCTTACTGTATAATTAACAGTGATTATCAGGCGCGTTGCTCTCATGGTCTCAGAGCTGGTTAAAATATTGATGAAGTTGTGATAAAAATTTGCCAAAAGAACAAGTAAATCAGGACATTGTGTATAAAAAAAAGGGGTTAGAGAAAAACAATCTTGGAAGAATAGATGATAGTCTCGCCATGTATCTACTTTGCATTTGATATTGGCCAAGGTTTACGCTAGTGATTACGCTAGTACAAATTAGGATTAGCATACTAAAAGCGGTCATGTACAGTGGTGGCAGATGGAACATCTGACCGCCTGTGAACGTCAACTAGTGCCTAGGTACCTATAAGCTATCATCTACCCTGGATAAGGTTTCAAGCCTAACAAGTCTGAAGTATTGAGGCTGTTGCGCTTACATCTGGCTATGAATCTGAGCCATTATGCCACCCATGGCTCCAATGCTCAATGAGCCACATGTCTTAAACCAAGTGAGCCAGCCTATACACGTTGGAGAGCCTACCTAAACAAAACTGACTTCTGATCCGTAGATTATCATCTCACCCTCTGACACAGACTATCTGGATCAGCTCATTCCATCAATCAGAGATTACAGCGTTGGAAACCGCACTCCACAACTGCTGCAATCACTGTCCCGGTTTGCGGGCGACAAAGAGTCCGAAATCGAAAGCATATGCAACACAAATCATCAGGAGTTTGTCTCATCTGTCAATTCACTGCTTCGGATTCGAGAGGGGACTGTGAGCTTGACAGCAGAGATTCTGAACTTGAACCAATCTATTCAAACCAGCACCCAACGCCTAGCCGAGCAGAAGAAAGCACTGGTGGAGTCGCGTGGCCACCGGCAGAATATCGATGAGACCAGTCGCGCCATTCAGGATTGTTTAGAGGTGCTTCGTCTAGCCAACCAGGTCCATGACCTCTTGGCAAAGAAGAACCACTACGCCGCGTTGCGCGCACTGGAAGAATTACAAAATGTCCATCTGAAGGGGGTGACGCAGTACAAGATTGCAGTCATGATACAACGCTCAGTTCCAGCGACACAGAGAGCTATCGCAGAAGCAGTGATGTCAGATCTCAACACCTGGCTTTACCGCATCCGAGAAATGTCTCAATACCTCGGGGAAATAGCGCTCTTTCACACAGACCAGCGGAAAACAAGACAAAAACAAAGAGCGGAGAAAATCCCGTATCTAGAGCATTTCAGTTTGAACTCGGCGATCGAATTGGTGTCTGATGAAGACGAAGAGTATGACCTGCTCCAGAATGAAGATCTTCAAGTTGACTTCACACCACTGTTCGAGTGTTTGCATATCCATCAATCTTTGGGACATATGGATAAATTCCGAATTGAATACGCGACCACCCGCCGAAGACAGAAGGAGCTCTTGCTTCCGTCTTCTATCACTCTTGTTGATGAAGATGGCTCTAGTCTGCACAATCTCTTGGAAGAGATGGCCGGGTTTGCCATTGTTGAACGGGCCACCATGAAAAGAGCCCCTGATCTCAGGTCATCCGTCGATGTAAGTAACCATATCCCCTTCCCTTTAGCCCCGTCTAGGAATCATCTGACCCATTCCTTTGAATAGATCGACGAGCTGTGGGATTCGATGTGCCAAGCGGCTGTAGTGTTGATATCGAAAGCACTTCATGAAGTTGACAACGCTGAAAGCATTCTCAACATCAAGAATCTGATCGCTCTGTTCATGCAGACGATGAACGTGGGTAGACCCAACTCTATTATATTCGCCTCAAATAGCTGATATCCATATAACAGACATGGAACTTCCCAGTGCGGGTCTTTGATGACTTCTTGTTGACCCTATTTGGCAAATATGCCGAACTTTTGAAGAAGAGATTCAGTGATGATTTCCAGGAGGTAGGACTGTTTCCTCCCTATCAGTATATTTTTAACTGCTGACACTGCCAGATTGTATCAACGGATGATTATATGCCCATGCCCATACAGACCGAAGAGGAGCATGACAAGGTCCTCAACGTTAGCTGGTACAGCCCGGAACAACCTCGCGAGGAACAGGTGTAAGTTGTGAATCAACCTGGGCCGATTGGTGCTTGTTTGGACCTAACTGATCATTTGGCTTAGGTTCCCATGCATATTACCATTTTCCCGAATGTATCCATTGTGTTGCATTGATATCCGGAATTTCCTGAACCAGTTCTATTTCTTCGCGAATGATGGGTTCGCAAATACAAATGTCATTGATGAGACACTGAAGAATGTGAGTTTGGACCAACACACTCAAGATCCATGACTTGACAACTAACCTAGCAGGATCTGGATGACCTTCTTTCACAAAAAGTCTGTGATACTTTAGTGGAGCGCCTTTCCTCGCAATATCTAGGCCAAATTGTTCAGATTCTTATTAACTTGGAACACTTCGAGTTAGCTTGCCGCGAGCTGGAACTCCTATTGGCAGCAGCCCGATCACAGAACTCTACCGGCACCTCAATTGCGTTGAAGGCTACCGAGAAGTTTAAAAGCAACAAGAAGGCAGCCGAGAAGCGTATCTTCGAGGTCGTCAATTCCAAAATCGACGACCTTATCGAGACCGCCGAGTACGAGTGGATGTCCCCTACACCTCCCACAGAGCCAAGCAATTACATGCAAACCTTGACTCGATTCTTGTCCAACATCATGAACTCCACATTGTTGGGTCTGCCAACGGAAATTAAGGAGCTCATCTATTTTGATGCCCTTAGTCATGCTGCTAACATGATTCTGGTAAGTTTTCTATGGACCCCCAATCCGTTGAAACAGAGACTTGCTGACTGACCATACAGGCGCAACCATTGTCCCCAGATGTTAAGAAAATCAATCCCAACGGAGTGGCAGCATTAGCAAAAGATGTTGAATATCTCGCCGAATTCGTGGACAGCTTAAATGTCCCAATTCTCCGCGAGAACCTCGACGAGTTACAACAAACCGTGCAGTTGATGCAAGCGGACAGCGCAGACGAGTTTTACGACATTTCCACGAGGAACAAGAAATATGGACGCGTTGATGCCATGCAAGGGCCCATTTTGCTCGAAAAGTACAGTTCGGAATCTACACCGCATTGTCGTGAACTACCTGCTAACTAGTTATGAATAGGCTCACACGCAGTATTCAAGCTCCCACCAAGGTGGATAAGTTTGCAACGCTTTCATCACGCTTCAAGAAGACTGGATAAATCTATGAGTGTGTTATTTGTAATGAAATATTCAACTACAACAATGAAGTACCCCCTTGGGACCTATTGAGAGCGTAAGTACAGAAATACAGCTAGAAGCATGTCTTGCCATATCCAGAACTGGTAAAATGGGTCATATATGAAACAACTTCGGACCGTCGGAGGGTGGCTCTTATCTCTTGGATTATAAGCTCGGCTTATTCCAAGACCTGTACGGGATATAGAAACGTACATGATACTACAATCAAGAAAGTCAATCACACGATCTTCATAATGTCACACGTGGTTTCCTCTTTTCTAGCTAATCAAAACCTGTACTAATATAAAAGATTCCTGAAAGATCGGAAAGTCAATCACCACTTCTACAGCATTGACCTTGCCTTGCGTGGGGAAAAAAATAAAAGAATCAAATAAGAACAGTAAGAGACAAAAAAGGAAACAGACCAAAAATTCGCCTTGAAACGCGCATGAACTAAATTAAAATGACGGACTGGACCATGTGCTGATGAGACATTCACTTGACGATCAAAATTAGTTTGTCTGCTGAAGACGAGGCATACGGAAACGACGTACCTGCTGGGGAGGGAGATGCGGGTAGGCATACATCCCCTCAAACATTTGGGATTGAGGCTGACCGTATGCCGCAGTTGGGTCTGATTGAACGGCCCCGGGGTACATGGCAGGTTGCGGGCGGTACTCCTGGTCTTGAGGCATACCGTGCTGGCCAAGGGAAGCGTAATCGGCAGGACCCATGTGCTGGTGCGGTTGAACTCCATGAGGGGCAGGGGGTAGCTGACCCGGGGCAGCAGATGGTCCCGGGGCGGTACCGGCAGCTTGACTCGACCGCTTTGCATGAGAAGTTGCCTCCTCACGGGGAACTATATCAATGAGGAAGTCAAACATGTCCGATTTGGACAGCGCGGCGGCAATGTCGGATCGCTGGAGGGTACGACGTTTGTTATCCTCGGCGTGAATCCAGGCGCGCATGGTCAGCTCGGTAATGAAAATATCACAGCCCTTAGCAAACAAGATGGGTGCCTCTGCAGATATCATCTTGACCTCCGGGTCCGCCTTCATCACCTTCTTGATACGGGCCAATGGTAACTGGTGGATCTTGTAGTCGTGGTTGTCTGATTCCAGGTGGTTGATGACATGCTGCCAGTAGGTCGTCAAGATATCACGCGCGGTTCCTTGAAGGCCTTGGTTTACCTAGTTCTGGTGAGTATCGGAGCTCGACATGTGCTTGGTCATCTCATGAGCTTACGTTGGCCCAGGTACCAGTATACAACTCGGCA